CCTGCCTCTCAACACTGTTGCATTGGGGACCAAGTCTCCAACACAACTTTTGGGAATACATTCAAACCATAGCATTCTTCCCTTGGCCCCCAAATTCATGTCCTTCTCAGATCTACAACACATTTATTCCATCCCAATAACCCCAAAGTCTTAACTCATTCCAGCATCAACTCAAAAGTCCAGAATCTCATCTGTGAAATCAAAACAAGTTATCTACTTCCAAGATACAATGGTGGGATAGACACAGGGTATCTGTTCCCATTCTAAAAGGGAGAAATGGGCCAGGATAAAGGAATAATAGGCCCCAAGCAAGTCTGAAACTCAACAGGGCAGACATTAAACCTTAAAGCTGGAGAATAATATCTTAAGACTGCATGTGCTGCCTTCTGGACACACTCATGCAGGGATGAGGCTCCAAGGCCTCAGGCATCCCTGCCTTTATGGCTTTGCTGGGCTCAGCCTTTACTTCAGCTTTTCCAGGCTGGCTTTTCAAGTTAGTATCTCTAACAGTTCTGGGTCTCTCAGTGGTGGTCCTGCTCCCACATCTCCACTATGCATTGCCCTGGTGGGGACTTTCTGCAGTGGTTCTACCCCTGTAACAAGTCTCTGCCTGGACTCCCAGGATGTCTGTTACATCCTTTGGAATTGAGGTGGAGGCCACCATACTTTCTGTGAACATGTAGAATTAGCACCAATGGATGCTGTCAAGATTTATGGCTTGTATCTTCTGAAGCGGTGGGTAGAGCATCATCTGAGGACAGTTGAGCCACAGCTAGAATGGTTGAGAAACTCTTTGCCAGAATTTTGGGAGCAAAGACCTGAGGCGGCTTTGGGCAGCAAGCTCTTGGAGGGTACCCAGAGCCTGTCACCTGAAACTATTCTGCCCTTCTAGGTCTCTGGGCCTTTGTTGGGATGGTCCACCTGAAAGATCTCTGCCTTTGGGGTCTTTCTTCCAATTCCCTCATGATCCACTCTATCTGTACTAATCTCCTTAGCAAATTGTCACTAGCCACACCCTTGGTTTCCTCTCCCAAATATACCTTTTTATTCATTACATGGCCAGGCTGAGAGTTTTCCAACTTTCTGTTTTTCTTCTGATTATAAATTCTGCCTTTACTTCATCCCTTTGCTCCCAAAACTCACTGTAAGCAGCAAAAGTAACCATGCAGCATCTTTAATGCTTTGCTGCTTAGATATTTCTTCTGCCAGATATCCTAGTTCATCATTATTAAATTTTGCCTCCCATAAATTTGGCCAAGTTCTTTACTAGTTTATAACCAAGATGGCATTTACTCTAGTTTCCAAAAAGATATTTCTCATTTCTGTCTGAGACCTCATCAGAATAGCCCTTACTATCCATATCTCCACCAGTTTTCTGTTCACAAACACTTAAGTAATTAAGAAGATTCAGACTTTCCCATTCTTCTGAGCCCTTACCAGAATCATCCTTAATACTCCATGTATGTCAATATAGGCTTTTTCTAGAATGCTACTCCAAGTTCTTCCAGCCTCTACTCTTGCTCAGTCCTAAAGCCACTTCCACATTTTCAGGTATCTGTTATTAACAACAGCCCCACTTCTTGGTACCAATTTTATTAGTTTTTTTCTATTTTTATAACTGAATACTGGAGACTGGGTAATTTATAAAGAAAATAATTTTATTTCTTACAGTTCTAGAGCCTGGGAAGTCCAGGTTCAAAGGGCTACATCTATGAGGGTCTTCTTGCTCATGAGGACTCTTCTGCAGAGTTCTGAAGTGGCACAGGGTATCACATGATGAGGGGCCTCAAAAAAGATGGAGAAACTGGCTTTTATAACAGACTGTTCTTGTAATAACTTACCCACTCCCTAGGTAACCCATTAATTCCTGAATGGATTAATCCATTCATGAAGACAGAGCTCTCAGTACCAAATCACTTCTCAAAGGTGGCAGCTCTCAACATTACTGCATTGGGGATCACATTTCTAACACATGAGCTTTGGGGACATACATTTGAACCACAGCAGGGGTCATGGTTAAAGGATACAGGGCATTTTCTTGAAGTGTAAAAGGATTCTAAAATTAATCGTGGTGATACTTGCACATATCTGTGAATATACTAAACACTACTGAGTTGTGCACTTCAAAATCTATTTAAAAAGTTAATTCATGTATGTTACATGTAATTTCACTCCAATTTTGAATGTTGAAAATTTAGGTAGAATGGAAAAATTATTTTAAAAAATTAAACTTTACCAAAAGGGACAAACAACAATTGAAAACTGGAAACTATTAAATAAGTTTATATAAATAATTTTAAAACTTTCCTTCAAAGATAATTCCAGGCCTAGATGGCTTCACTTGAGATGTATGCCAAACATTTATGGATGAAAACACAACACAAAAAGTAGGTATACTCCAAAACTCGTTTTACGAGGCTAGTATTACATTGATATTAAAACCTAAATGCAACAATATGAGAGAGAAACATCATAAGCCAATCTTGCAAACATAGATAAATCCTCAATAAAACATTGACTCAACAAAATTCAATAACAACAAAAAGGCATAATACATCTTGAGGAAGTTGGGTTTATACCAAGAAATCAAGATTGGTTTACCATTTAAAAATCTATAGTATAACTTACCACATTAACAGCTTAAAGGGAAAAAAATCATATGATAATCTTGATACAGACAGGAAGTGTCTGATAAGATTTAATATTTATGATTACAAAAAATTCTTATGAAATTGGGAATCAAAGGAAAGTTTTTTAATTTTATTTAGGCTATCTATAAAACTCTACAGTAGTGATTATATCAAATGGTGAAGCATTTCAAAAAAGGGTCCTACTTCCATCCAGCATTGTTGGAAGTCTTAGTTCAAATCGGCAAGAAAATCCAGGCATGGTGGCGTGTGCCTGTAGTCCCAGATACTTGTGAAGCTGAGACAGGTGGATGGCTGGAGCCCAAGAGTTCAAGGCTGCAGTGAGCTACGGTCATGCCACTGCACTCCAGCCTGAGAGAGAGAGACTCCATCTCTAAAACAAAAAAAAAAAAGAAAAGAAAGGTATAAGGATGGAAAGGAAGAAACAAAACATTGAATATTTGTAGCTGAATTATAAGATAATTCATAATTCAGAATCACCTACTCATAAATTATTAAATTATGGAGTATTTTGCAAGTTTACTGGATATCAAATCAAAAAAGAAAAAGCAATTGAATATTTGTATATTATACTAACAACAAATAGTTCAAAAATAAGATTTTTTTAAGAAGCCTCTTCCCAGAAGAAAAAATTAGATATTTTTAAATGACATCATTTATAATAGCACTAACATTTATCAAGTA